TAAATAAATATTTTGGCTGTTGAGCGTAAATATTTTCTTCGGCCCTGGTAATCCCTAACTTTTCCGTACCGTTGTCCTGCGTTGTCTGTAGGTACTTTTGGTTATTTTTTGTGAATTTTCTTGAAATAAAGACAGTGAAAAATCACCTCTCTGATCGTTTGTACAAATAGATTGGAAACTTCAAACAAGAACGATAAAGCGGCACCTGGCGACTGGTTGGAGAAATAGAGAATCATGCACATAGTTTGCTGTAACAAGTATGCGTCCGTGTAAGTGCGTCTGTGTTAGTTCAAACGTTGAAAGTATGACACATTGCACTTAGTCCCCAGGTGCCGCTGTATTGTTTACTATTTTCATGATCAGAACGGCTGGAAAATATAATAATAAAAATAAAGTGAAAAATCGGTCACCTTCAAGCATGTCCACGAGCTCCCTCAGCGAGCCAGCTCCTCAATATGTGAGCGCTCAGCTCAGAGAGAGCTGGCTCATTTACGTGGCGTTAACATAGGAAGAAATATCAAATTAATTTCACTTTTTTTTACTTTTCCGTACACAATGTGTCAAGGGAAAGTATAGGAATTGGTCCCGAAAACTTTTTTCGCAAAATTAGCTTAGATCATCATAAAAGCTCATGAAACGCGTAGAAAACCACTTTTTGAGACACTTTTCCGTTCGTGTGCCGTCTTTGTCGTGGTCGTCGTTGTCGTTGTCGTAGCTGTTTGTTAACACGATAACTCGAGTTGACACGAAATGGTTTAGTTAATTAACTAAAACTTCGACAATTTTGTATGAGAGGTACCCGTAAACCGATTCTTATTGGCTTTAAACTTTCTGAGGTTTCATTTTTTGGAGAAAGAATAAGATTCTGAAAGTTTCATGTTGATCGCATTTGCAGAAGTTTGGTTTTTGGCCCTCAATTTTCCCCAAGAAAATTTCGACAAAAATTAAGGACAAAAAATCAAACTTCTGCAAATGCGATCAACATGAAACGTTCAGAATCTTATTTTTTCTCCAAAAAATGAAACTTCAGAAAGTTTGAAGCCAATCAGAATCGATTAACGGGTACCTCCCATACAAAATTGTCCAAAAATCGGTAATTTTAGTCAAAATTTCAAAAAATTTGTATGGGAAGTACTCGTAAATCGATTCCGATTGATTTCAAACTTTCAGAATCTTATTTTTATCTTAAAAAATGAAATCTCAGAAAGTTTGAAGCCAATCGGAGTCGATTTACAGGAACCTCCCATACAAAAGTGTCAATTTTTTGAGGTTTTTCTTGGGGCAAGTACCCTAGGGTCAAATCGAAAATGGCTCATCCCCGAACTTAAACTAAGTTTTTTGGATACAAAACTTTTGGGACTTTCAGATTTGGATTATCTCAATTATTTTTTGAGTTATCGTGTTAACAAACAGCTACGACAACGACAACGACAACGACGACGACGGCACACGAAAAAGTGTGACAAAAAGTGGTTTTCAACGCGTTTCATGAGTTTTTATGATGATCTAAACCAATTTTGCGAAAAAAGTTTTCGGGACCAATTCCTATACTTTCCCTTGACACGGAAAATGTGTACGGAAAAGTAAAAAAAGAACTATCAGGGAGGAGGAAACATGCTCATGCATGTAGAGTATATGTTTAATGAAAAGAGAAAATGTTTTCAAATAGGTTTTCCATTAGAATTGAATGACGATAAAGGAGAACATATTTAGACTAATTTAATGCTTTTGAAAAGATGTATGTACGACATAACTAGATGATTATCAATCGGAACAGGAACTAAACCAGTGGTTGAAATCCAAGCGCAGTAATAGCTGTGATAAGGGTTCACTATTAGGTCCAGCCAATCGATTACTCAACAAACTTAGTAGTTCCTTTATGTGCCCCGAATACCTGAAATCAACCCAATACGTATAAATATGTGGAAAGTTTATTATTATTCAAATCTATTTACAGAGAAGGAATCATACTACTTACTGTTCTTCGAATATATTGATGATTTGTTGCATTTCTGCAGATAACTGCGGCTCCTCTATGGCTCCGTTAAGATTACAAAATGATCTGATTGTTTTGAAAATTTTATTCAAAATCTTGCGAACTGGATTCTCTGGTTTATCAGCCTCCGAAGTGGCGTCCGATGTTTCAATCGACGATTCACCGCTTCCCGTATTCAGCAAAAAAGATAAACACATCACGTTAGCCTGGAAAATATTGTGTGCTCGCTGAATAAACTCGAAATCTTTTGAATTCTGTACCGCGCCAATCAAAGTACAAAATTGACTCTCAATCACATCGACTTGCAAATAATACTGCAAATTGTCGATTAAAAAGAGCATTTTATTTCGAAGCTGTGATATCATTGAGTTTCCGGCGATTTTGATGTCTCTATGCAAGCGCCATACGGTATGTAGTCCATTTTGTAATTGACGTATTTGCAATAAAAACACAAACAACTCATTGTATTGGTGCAGTACCCGCGGTGAGAAGAACAAATGCAGGGGCCATCTTACATGAAAATTCAAGCGAATTCCATTCAGTATAGCTTGCATGCTATCTTCTGAATCGGAGAAATCGATACCATCTTCAACTAGCAAATACGCAGTAATGTGGTCCATATCGATCGATGTTCGACTTAAAGATTTTTGAAATGCTTGATTTACTTCTCTTGCCATATTCTCGGTAAGGTTGCCTCTCGTTTCAATACTGCTTAGCTGCATTATGAATTCCAAAAACAATTCACCACGCCCGAGCAAATAATAATCCCTAAAGAAGTGTAAATGTTTTATCAAGTCCGCCTGATTAAAAGCAATTTCTGACAAACGTTCAGTAACAAATGTTTTGATCTCATTCACAACATGCTCATATGATCCATTGTCGATGCTATTACAGTTGTACAGCTTTTGAATCTTGTTGAAGAATGTGTGTTCATGTTTGTTCCACAGCGAACCAAACTCAACAGCTATTTCATCTTCGTCATTCCAAATAGAATTTTTCTTCACTGTTTTTCTTGGATCCTCAACCAGCATACGTACTGTTTGACCAATGAAAAGAACGTTTTCAGCCCACGATGTCGTAAAATTGGATGGAATCATACCGTACGATATTTGAAATTTCCATAATTCGGATTTGGTGCTGGCCCTTTCGGAAAGCAATGTGTTTGCTGTCGTTGTCATAACATCGCTACTTTTGCTACAGCGATTATGAATGATGAAGAATTCCTCATAAGCATCAACAAGTCGTCCGTAGATGAGCCACTGCGTTAACTGTCGAAGAAAAACAGCATACACGCCGAGTCGAATGGTTTTCAGTGCTTGCATTGATTTCGGATCCGCATGGTGATTGTATTTATGCAATAGACTTAAAATTGCACAACCGTGCAGCTTTTGACTTTTCACTTCATTGATGAATTGTTCCAAGAAGTAAAAAAACGTTTGAAACTCTTTGATTTCCGCGAGGAAGAAATTAATTGGCAGATTTCCATTCTTAATGTGATCTCTTTCCAACACAAGCATTCGATTACGAAACGGATGCAATGCTACGTCTATACTTTGTGCTAATGCTGCAAGATAAAGTCCTTTTGGCATTTCATTTACTTCCTCGACCGGATTGTCAACGCCTGATGTTACTGAATGTTTTGTGATGAATGCCCGTATGCTTTGATGTATTTCGGCACATTTTAAAATTTCTTTCAAGATTTGAGTTTCACTTGGGTGGAAGAAGTCTTCGGAGACATGCTAGTTTTGAAGGTAGGAAAAACCATGATTTGATCAAACTCAATGTCGATATATACGAAATAAATATACGAAATACCTACCAAAAACTTATTTATTGATATATTATTCACCGAAGTTGGATCCAACAACAAAAGAATTATATCATGAATCATTTTTGTTTGTAGTTTTCAAATGTATGTACCGGAATATTGATTTGACTTTTAACATTGAATGTTTTTCTCTTCTTCTTTTGTCAGTTTCTCGGATTGGTCACTAGAGTGAGCCGACAGAAATTGACATCCAACTTCACAACGATGTTTAAGTCATTAGTTGTAGAAAAAAAACTATGGGAACAACATTTCAACATTTTATTTACAAAACGTCATTCATTAATATATTACTATTTTGTATTTATTGTCTTTTGTAAAAGTAATAAATTCAATAGTAATTCGTATTGTAAATCTTATTTCTTTAGTTTTTAGATAAATTTAAAATATCGTTTATGTGGAAGCATAGAAAATGTAATGTTATTGTGTATTATAGTGTATGAAACTTTTTGATAAAAATAAATATTGATATAAAAAGTCGATAAACACAATACTGAATAGCCCAGTTATTCATGTAATTTACCTGTAGTCTTTGCATAATACAAAGGTACATGTGTCGTTCAATGTCGTTGAAGATAACAGCAAAACTGAAATTTAAAATGGTTTTTCATGGAAATGATTTTTCGATCTTTTAGGTTTTGTATGAAAAGAAGTACTTTGGTTTATCTAATATTTCGATAAATGTCTGTGGTACACAATAATTATGTGCATTAAATAATGGCAGCGCCGAAACCAATATACGCAACGGGTGTGACTGTTTTTGGTTTCATTTGTTTATTATTGGGATGTGTAGCACTGTTTCTACCTGTATGGGGTCACTTCGAAGATCGACATGGCGGATATCAAGCCGAACGTGGCTATTTTGGACCATGGAAAGTATGTAAAAAATTGAACTACGGCCGCGAAATATGCGGTGATCGTTTCCGATTCCAAGTGTCAGGTAATTAAGACATCCCGTTAGTATGCAATTTGTAGTATATGTTGAAGAATTTTCGGTCCATTCATCCAATGCAGGTGGTGTTTACGTCAGTGGCATACTTTCTATGATAAGTTGTGCAAGCTTGGCTATTTTCTCTATCTTGTCAGTGATTCAGTTAGCAATGATTACATCGAGGGATGAAGTTGTTCTCAAATACAAAACATGTGTAATATTGAAATTAGCTCTTGCTATAATCACAGGTAAAGTTTTCTGACCACTTTTGCCAATATCAAATCAAAAATATATAAATTACAATAAACTTACTAATTTATTACTCTTTTATTCAACAGCTTTGCTAGCATTGTCTGCCGCAATTTTATTCGCAATAGAAATAGATAATATAAACGGAAGTTTCATTGTGACCAGAGGGATTTCATTTTATTTACAAGTATGATTATATTCAAAAACATACATATATTACAACTGGGTTTTAGTTTCCAGGTCAATGACCCGCAACTCTTTTGTAAATGTATTCCTCAAATATTGCAACATCTTCATATGAACCGAACATATATTATATTATCGAAAACCAATACTAGCTATCTTGCAATCACCAAAATGTAAAGCGGTTGTAACATTTGATTCGTTCAATCTGTGAAAAGTTCTTGAAAAAATGTCATGTAAACGAAAAAGAATAATAACTGTACAAATGCAACAATATATAGCTGCAATGTATTTTTTAAATATTCCTTTTGATTTTATATGTTTTTTGTTTATTTGTTGCAGATATTGTTGGTTATTTTATCGATAGGATTAGTTGTGGTGGCCTTATATGATGTTATATTCACTTTTCGTGTATCCGGTGATCCGACAAAGAGTATGGTAGTTGATGTCAACGCAGTGTCAGCTACAACAATCAACAACCCTGGTTACCGTGAAAGTAGATCTGGTAAGAAAAGACTAAATATATCAACCAAATTTACATGAAGTTTTAATAAAATATAATTTTTAGGAATTTCAGTTACTGATGCATCTGGAAAACCCTATGCCTCGCACACAAATGGTCATGGGAGCGTGCTCTCTATGAACACAACTGTAACAAGTGTTTCGAATGGTTCAACGCTCGATGGATCTGTTAGCAGATCACCGTTAAGATCAAGTCTGAAGAAACCACGTAATCGCGACGCATTGGGTATACAGAATCCCGGATTTTCCGGAGCTAACTATTCCCCACGAATGAATCGCACAGGTAGCGTGAAAAAAGTAAGAATTCAAACACACAGCACAGAAGTTTAACTAGTGAGAGTATAGGAAATTGAATAGGTAAAAAGACAAAAATCACTTATTTAGAGAATTCGAAGCGTATAGATTTATTCAAATTTATATTAAGAGAATAATTTAAAAAAAATGACCGAAATGAGAGTATTATATCATTCAGGATACAGAAGGATTTCTATGTAGAATTAAAGACGCTACGGTATTTTTACTGTACTACTCTTTAGTATTATTGGACGATTTGATAAGCAGGTTCTCATTTTTAATTATGTGAACTATTAGAAAATTCATCCCTTCTATAGCTTGGATCACTATTCATCTAAAAAAGTTTTCAAAAATCAAACAACATTCTCATTTCGAACCTATCAGTAGACATAATCATACACATATCTGGTTTCTGAATCTTTGCAAGTTTCAGAGATTCAATAAGAAGGCCCAAGGTTTCTATGTGATGTTTCCACAATGTAATGAAACATTCATATGGCAATCAAGCTGTAAGATCAACCGATATCAATCGCCCAAAAAAACGTTCATGACTAAAGAAAAGAAGACCTTTGTCAAAGATTTCTTTGTGAAAAAAAATATTTGTTTTTTTCTGATTCATTATTCGAGTGCAATAAAAGAGAGCGTCTTTTTCCGAGCGTATTTATAAAATAAGAAAAATTTGATTCACGACAAAAAAAGTACACGCATGTGGATGACCCACAACCTAATGAACATTTTCTACATTACAAGAAATGGTTCACAAGTCCTAGACGGTTCTGACTCTGTTACTCTGAACTGTTTCGGTACACGTAGACGTCACCACAACTGCCCCATTTTCTTACTTCGCCGTTCTGGCATCGACACTTACAAGATATCCTATCATTTGGTCAATAGGAAAGAACTCTTAAAATTCAAATCATATTTATTGCGTATGGGAATAGTTTCTATTGAAAAAAAAAGATATAGACGACTTTATAATATCTCACCAATATCTCTTAACAAAAGCAATCATGTGCACACATATATCTCTTATTGGAGATTTATTGTGGTGTGGTCATCTACACACACGATATATTACTGAATCTGTCCAGCAGTTCTACCAATATTGTAAAATTTTAGTCAACTAAAATTCAAGTATTTATATTTCATTACTGCAAATATTCGAAGTTGTCAGCATAGTCTGCAATTTCGCCACAATCATTCCATTGTGTATTATTCCATTTGACTACAATGTTCAACCTGGCGACGCTTCTACATAGCTCTCACGACCGTCGAAGCGTACATAAATCGTAACTCTTTTTAATCATAAGTGGAATGTTATTAAATTGTTCCCCCTGTATTCGAATGTTCTTAATGGGCCACGAATTCACATCGAAAGTATGTCAAAAAAAGGGCGCATGTCTCAAATTTTTTACACAGTTGAGCCATAATAGCTTAACCTTTCTCCACCGAGATGCAGAAGTTTCTGATTTTTTTTTTGCAATTTGTATCTATTAATCTATCTTAAAGTATGGATTTCATCAATTTTCAATCAGATTAGTAGGGGAATTATGTGTAGGTTGACCCGCACTAATCATTTTCGTCATAACTTTTTATGGAATAAAGATAAATGCACACTTGATATACCATTGGAAAGAGAGCCGAAAAAGCTACAATTTGATTAGGAAATTCATTAGCTATGGTTGTAAAAACAAAATATTTCGGTCAATTTTCTAAGAGGTCTGATTTTTGGCAAAAAATTTTTTCTTTGTAAGTTGACCCACCCTATTTTTTCTAGAAAAACATGCAGTATAAACACTCAATATATGAAATTCATTGAATTTCGTTGGATTTTCAATCGTTTTTGGTCTGTACAACTACGAAAAACAATGAAAAAATGTAGAAAAATATAGAAATAGTAAAAAAATACATATTTTCTATTTTTTCATATTTCATCGATTTTTCGTGTTTTTCAAGTCCAAAAACGATTGGAAATTCATTAAAATTCAATGAATCTCGTATATTGAGTGTTTACGCTGAATAGTTGTCTCATTTTTATGATTTTTTTTCGGGTGGGTCAACTTACAAAATTGGTCGACATTTCAATATGCACGGAAAGAATTTCGCCATGTAACGATATGTGTGAAATGACTTCGGATTATGAAAATACACGAAAAACTAGTGAAGAAAGCTTATACTCGCTTTGCTGATATCTTTGAAATTGTCTACTTGATGATGGTCCGAAAAAATTTAGTTTTTATAAAAATGATTTTTTTTTTTGCAAAAAATTTTTATGAGCCGATCCGAGCCGTTAAAGAAGCGTATTTACTCTTGGGAACTACTTTTATATCGGTTTTTGACGTTTCTAAATCGATTGAGACTAGCCAAATTGACGATTTGTCGGTAAAAATACAAAATCGGCGTGGTGGGTCAACTTACAAAGTGGGTCAACTTACACATACTCCCCCTAAATAAAACAGTAGAATACATTGATGTTGGTTAATAATAAAAAAAAAAGTTACAGTTTTTCTAAATACGTTACCCGGATTAATCGGATATACATATAACTGTATTTCATCATTCACCAAGTCCACACTTAAGGCAGAACAATTGAATAAACCTGGGTCAAAAATGATGAGAAAAAAATCCGCCATATAATTGTATATGGTCTTCCATATTTGTGAAGGAAATTTAACATGTTTTTTTTATAAATTTCTACACGATATATTTATTCATGTTTGTAGTTATCATATTGCATTTTTAATATGATGTAAAAGAAATCGATTCCGTCCAATTATTATCTAATCAAAATCTATGTTGTAAGATTTAAAAACCTTTATGGAATATAAGAACTAATAAAACCGCTAATAAAAAATCGAAAACAAGTGTTATTTATATCTATGCTTTGAACATTTACAGATGGTTATAGCCAACATTTGCTTGCATGGGAATATTTGTGTACTATAAAAGCATGATAGAGAACTTGGCAGTGCTTGGATTGTATTCACTCACACTAATGTTAGTTCAATATTAATTAATATCAATTAATGTAGTTAGTTCAATAAGGACACAATTTGATATTTCTCAGTCGACCTCTGATTAACTTAAAAGTCCCCCATACACTCCAGAATGAATGTGGGACACATTAACCCCATAACGCTTAGCGTTGCCATATGGCATCAACAGGAGGTTACTCCGTTTGGAAGTGGAATTTTATTTGTACTCCAGGACACATATAATAGAAAATAGACACGTTTTATACGCTCGAAGAATGCCGCTTTCCAATGATATTTTACATTATTGAATCGATCCAAAGATTTTAAAATTATGACATCATGAATTTGGGTAATTTTTAAAAAGTGACGATTTTTTTTCGTCAAAATTGGCCAAAACAGGATTTTCCTATAATTTTCACAATTTTTATTTTCGAAAATAGCTAAAAAAGGTCCTTAGTAGTATTTTTAGAGCACTAACAAACGTGATTTTGTAAATAAAAATAATACAGTTTTGTTCTTTACGTCAATATATGCTTTGAACGACTTCAAAACCAAGTCGAACCAACACTATATCAGGAACCCACAGTCTACCCAGACTGTATTAGTGCTATCATGTATCGGTGGTTGGTCAGCCAGTCCATTCCAAGGATTGTTTTTTGAAAAAATGTTCAGTTATTTTGAGCTCAAATTGCCATTTAGAGTATTCATATGTTTCATTCAAAAGGTTGAATGACGTTGGGGTGAAAAATCCATAACAATACTGAAATTTATATGTATATTTTTTTCAAGAAAACTTATGAATGATTGAAAAACTTCTCACGCTTGTGGGGAAACTTCCTTTTTTTCTGCTATAATCACCAGAAAGATGATTATTCTCCCCTCAAACTCACCTGTAGATCCAATCGGTAGATTTGTGCATTTTGTAGAAAAATGAAACAATTTTGAAGATTATAGCATTTAATTGTATAAGGGATTGCTCTACGACGAAAAAATTCGAAAGCCAATTTTATTTGTATCAGAATGGGTAAATAAAGGATTCATTATACTTTAATTACAATTACAATTGCATTATCGTTAACACGCAAAATCGGAAACTACATTCCAAATTAGAGTTTTTAATAAATGTAATAGTTACCCTGGGTTTTGTTTCCAGTTCTATACTTCTTATTAAATTACATTATTAAATTTCATTTTTCTGTTTTTTTTTCTTCTGAAAATTTTCTCTAGGGAATATGTATTAAAACTTTATCTAAGCTAAGTGGTGCGAGTGAGAAAGAGACTTTAAAATATGTGCCTTTTCTTCGAGAATAGACCGACAATTCTGTTGTAATTGTTCGATAGCTTATTTTTCGAGAAACCTTCCACATTTTTCTACGAAACTGTCTTGTCTGTTAAATACTTGTAAAAGTCAATGTTATGTTAAAAAAAATGCGTGAAAACTGTGTTTATAAATTTATGTTAAAATTGAAGTTTTATCAAAAAGTGTGAATTAACCTGATTTTTTTTGTCTTTATTTCGTTTGCATTGGAGTCAATGTAATTTGTGTTGACGCAACAATCCCTATGAACATATTTGACAATTGTCCAGGAAATATTGAGATGATTGACTTCAAATGAAATGAATACTTTGATGGAATAAAATTTCACGTTAGATAAACGTATTGAATTCAAATAATATGTTTCTGTAAAGATGTTCATAAGAATTCCATGTCAAGTGCTGTGTATAGAGCCCGAATGTCCGAGTGACTGGATATTCTCCAAAATGGAAATGTCATTGTCTTTGCAGCCTTCTCTTCTTCAGGGCCATCACCAATTACAACGTATGTACTTTTACGACCGAAACGAGTTGTAATTCTTTCAAAGCAAGATTCATGACCTGTGACAAAAAACAAGTTTTAACCGTTTAGCTATGATTTATTTATTATCTGAATAAGATTGTTGTACTACCTATTTTATTTGTACTGTAGATATTCTCCACGGGGAAAATTTGCGCCAAGCCAAACAGAAGAATTTTAGCCAATGCAGCTACTAGCTGGTTGTTGGTCACAAGGATGTTTACGCAATTCGGTCTTTGAGCTATTATTGTCAAACACTTGAGAGTCATTGTCAACCAGCTATCCGTGGACATTTCAATGTCAGATCGAACCTGCAGCCACTTTGAACGTTCTTCCTGACTCAGCATTCCTCCAACACTTTGAGGGAAAGAGAGAATAAAAATATTTTTGCTTTGTTGTTCGGTTATTTTGTTCAAAATATGCTTACTTGTTTTTATAAGTATTATAAATATCCTTGATTTTTCGATAACGAAATGCTAACTTTCGCATCCAATCGACTCCTCCCCGAACTCCAGTAGATATACATAGATTAGGTGGAACACCGGGATTGGTGTTTGCTTGGAAACCATCACTGCGAAAATCATAAGTAGTCAGCTCTTGACCATTGTCATCAGAAGAAACATCATCAATGTGTACTTGGTCACAACTTTCGATGTCGTTGAAGAAGAAATGATGATCGGCCATATTGAAGATGAGTTCCTCCATTGATGTAGCCAAGTAATTCATTCGAATCGGATCTTTGGAATAGCGATTCGCAAACGATCCAGTGATCAATGAATGAAATATGATGATTGTCTCATCCAAATCCCATATGAAAACTCGATCGGGTCCCTTACAGTTCTCTGCAGCTTGACCATTTTCAGACGTAATGCTACGTGTAGGGCTCGGATTTGCATGTCGTCGACCACGAGCTCTTTTTGGAATTGGTGTGGATTTATTTGATACTGTTACGGATGCATTTGGAGAAGCAGAGATTGACGAATGGGGCGAGTGTGCGTGCTGCACAATCATCGATGTTGTGGCATTTACCTCTGATGGACTCTCTGCCAAACCGGTCGAAGCGTGGAAATTTTGTGTACCACTTCCCGGCGAACTAGAATATGACGGATAACTTGAGGTGTTGTAGTACCCGTTTACAGCGTACTGCTCATTATAATAAGCCGAATAGTCTTGTTGGGATCCACCAAACTGACTGAAATTATTGTAGCCATAGCTATACGCACTACTATTTGCTACTGCAGATGTAGAGCTCGCATAACTTGAGGGCAAGTAAGAATTTGTGGACGAAATTTTCGATGAGCGAGCAGGATATGCGGCAGCTGGGTAAGATGGATAAAACGACGAAGTGTATTGTTGCATACCGTTGTAGTAACTGTTATAATAGTCTTGTTTCTGATCAAATGTAGAAGGGGACTGCAAATTTTCTAGAGTTGAATTCGAGCAAAATAGTGATGCCGTGTCCAAATGTGAACTGTTTGCCAAGCCTGACGCCATTAGTGTATAGATACCACTTGTGCTGTTATCCAAAGAGGGGCTTCGTGATTCCGATTTTACTGCAGCTGTCGTTGGTTCGTTTAACCAGTGTGTCATCTGAATGACTAGACACAATTGATTGGCTAGAAGTTTTAATGACTTATTTTTTCATATATCTATAAGATTTGATTAAGGTGTTTATTGAATAATCAATCCAGATGGTGTGGAAATATATCAATCGCAGAACAATGAAGATTATAAAGCTTCTATCGGTCAGATCTAAATGTATAAAAAAAGAACAAAATAATGTGCATCAGTGTTGATGATACAATTTGTTTAGGATAATTTATTGGGAGATTTTTTGTGTTATTGAATTTCTATAGAACATGAACATTTCTCTTTTGTCTCCAAGTGACACTGTTGTGCTAGAATGCGTCAATTGAATAAGAATACAATTTTTAGTTGCATTTAAATCCTCTATGAAAGATTTGACACCAAAATAGAAGATGTTATTTAAATGCTCACAAGTTTAGGTTACAATTTAATTCGTCACGCCGACGGCATCCCAATATTTTTTGTGCTGAATAAAATGCATAGAATTACCGTGAAAATTTGAACAAGAAAAAACTCGAAAAATGGCCTATTACCTATAGATTACAGGTAAACACACGAATGTGTATCGAAATACTTAAACCAACACTGAATATGAACACTGGCCTGGTGAGGAACATGAAGGAAATGAAAACAATACTAGTACTATACAAAATGGTTTTGTACTTGAAACAAAAACGATATTGGAACATAGAGCAATTGAAAATACACAAATTCGTGTTTTTCCATTTAAATAGAAGAAAACCGTAATTATAAATTGCAGGAACGCATTTGAATCATTCTAAAATTTACTAACATGATCTTCTAACTTCAGATAATTTTCAGGCGTAATCTAGTCATAGACTCTGATTGAATAGTTGAATAATACTCTTTAACAAAATAAGTTTGAATGAAGACAATCTCTAGAGTTTTTTATATATATTCTCTTTCTTGAAATTCAGAAATCCACGTATCTTTTTGCACACATCGTAGTTTGTAAGAATTTACTTCAACTATGTAGATCTAGAGCATTTCTCTTCAATCGATAGTAAAATTTGGTCATGTAAAGAATAAAACCGTGGGAGTAGCATTACACTAACAATAACATCATTTGCAAAGAAAAATTCATTCAATTCGTGATTACAGGCGTGAACGCGCTTATTTTGCAATCGCACTTGTTCAAATCACGAAAAACAAAATATTTATTTTCTAATGCGGTCTTAAACGACCGAAAGAAGGCAGTTTTGTTGTCTTGCGTGTCATCGGAATATTTGTACAATTTTATTTAGCAGAATCGAAACATTTTGTTTTATTTCAAAATTTAAATATTATTGTTTCATCACACAACACGACAATGTTTGTCACTGTATTGAATACACTCATCAATACAGTTCCAATACGTTGCAGTCAAAATGTGTGGCGTTGTTGGTTCGACGTTTAATGATCGAGACTATCCCGGTAAATAAAACTAATAAACATTTGTGCTTAATGCGATTTAGATAAGCTTTCGTTTCATTAAAAATCAACTATTTTGAAAACTGTTGATCCCGTCGGCGAGATCATTTTTTCAACTTGAACACCGAGTTTCAACTCGTTGAACACACACAAAAATCTATTTAAATTGGACGTAAAATAAAACGTAAGAAATGTTTTCTTCGAATGAGTTATTTAAACAATTTTTTCCTAACAACATTTCATGCTTCTTTGGTACTGGTTTGATGGCTAGAAATGTAAAAACAGTGCACAATTTTTTTCTGTGGAGAGAAAATAATTGTTCGTGAAAAATGTTGATGTTCAATGGAAAATCTTTTTTTGTTTCAAGTAAAAAATAAGATCGTTCTTGAAAGTCCGAAAAATGAATTCAAAAAGAGATTTTATGTCGTTTTTGACAATAGGTAGCCCTGTTTTAAATTGAATACAAAATTGAGTATCTGATACAATGTTTCTTGAATTCTAAAAGTCCGCTTGAAATTCTTGAAATTTGTTGGGGGAAAACCGAAACAATAGCTCTATATCGTTTAGTGCCAAAAAGAAGTGTAAATTCAATTATTTTTTTTTGCAATTGCAATTTTAAATTGTTTTAGTTTTTTCCACTAAAAATGTTTTAGAATCATTGCATATACGCTCAGATTGAAAATAAGCAAATAAATTTTCAGTGACGGCTTACAATTTTGTTTAAAAAATAATAGATTTGAGGATGATTGAATGCAGTATTTGTATTTATTTGAGGCTGCTTACAAAAACGTCTATAAAATTGACAAAATCGTCTAATGAAATGACAAAAACGTCTATGACAAAACCATCTAAAAATGTAACAAAATCGTCTATTTTTTTTCAAAAACATGACAAAATCATCTATAATTTTGACAATTTTTTTTATGACAAAATCGTTGTGGAAATTGACAAAATCGTCTATATTCACAATGTCCGAAAAAATGACAAAAACATCTAAAAACCTCCAAAAACGTCTATGGACAAAACGCGTATCAAAAATGACAAAATCATCTAAATTCACAAGGCAAGCTTTTTTCTTAACAAATGTGCTATAAAAATGGACACAAAATATTTCTTTAATTAGAAAAAACACCACCTTATTTATTTTTGTGATATATTTTTTTGCTTCAAAATCGTTTCTATTATTACAAATTCGTATAATTGTATTTTTATAAGAAAATGTTTGTTCAAAATATCAATTCCCCATTTTTGCTCGACTGACACTCAGTGAATGGAGCACAGAACTTAATTCTTATTATTACTTCTATAAAGAAACGAATTTCGATCAATTGCTTTTTCTATCACAATACAAATTGACTGCTACATACGCTGGAGGGCTGGTGCGGATTTCTTTGGCCGCCCACGAGGTGGCTTCTTTGCCAATACTTGCGGGTTGCAATCGGCCGGAACTCCTGTTTGCTTACATAGGAGAGCTATCCCTACGATGTGTTTACATGTTACATTTTTCATAAAGAAAGGACAAGAACATGTAGAACGTTTCCAATCAACAAGTAAAACAACTTTATACACACGTTGGTGTACTTGATCGATATAAATGTCAAAATCGGTGATGCTCTCTACATTTTCATGGATGAAAATTGCTTGTTCGACTGCACTTATTCGATCTTCTTTGCTTCCTTGGCACGAAATCACATAGAAGACACCGTTGTCGCTTTTGAAGATTCTTCTCTTCGTTCCAGGATCTGTTGCAAATTCAACACCTTTTTGCCAATCCAACTTGGACAATTGTACTGATGTGTAGAAACATCTAACGGTGTGTACTCTTTTGATAGCTGAATTAAATCCTTCGTTGGGATTATTTGTGTCTTTGAATATAGACGATTTTGTCAATTTCCACAACGATTTTGTCATAAAAAAAATTGTCAGAATTATAGATGATTTTGTCACTTTTTTAGACGGTTTTGTAAAAAAAAGTAACAATTTTTCATTAGACGAAATTGTTTTTATTTTAGACGGTTTTGTCATTTTTTATAGACGAAATTGTATTTAACCTTTATTTGATCCCGTACTTGTATTGGCTGAATATTTTATTTATTTAGTAAAAAACAATATGCGCACTGTATTAGAATTTACAACCGTGCATTTCTTGGAAAAAACAATTCTATCGGCAAAAGTCGAAGTAATGTCAAAACATAGCGCTTTTTGCTGTCCATGAATTTTCGCACAAAAAAAGTAAAAACGTATATAAATTAAAACTTGAATTTGTGTTATATAACTTTCCCAAATTTTGCTTATTTTTCCAAGTTCGCAAAAAGAACATTTTAAAAAACATGGGCTACCTTACTGCGTTGAATGTTTCTTTGCATGTTAAACGATTCTATGTCAGTTATTTTTTGTTACGCTTGGTTTTTGTCTCCGTTTTGTTATGATCGTTCGTACGGTTTGTAACTTGAAACGAACTATCTTTGTTCTTCGTTGAACATATATGGGATTATGTGCGATTCGTAAACCAAATGAAATTAACGATAATACGAGCTACATTTTTTAGCATCGACAGAAAGTAATTTTAGATATTATTCGTTGTATACAACAGTATAGTATACAACGAAAATGACAGTTTAAGAAGGAAGGAAAGTAAATCAGAAGAAACTGAAGAAATCGTGTTTATATATACAACAGCTAATATTTTTTGGGAAAATATCTTTTGGGCTTAAACGCAGGCATAAATTTCTTCTGCACATTGTGCACTCATGAAATCAAAAGGAAACAAAAAAGGTTCGAGAGATGGTAACTTGAACTAATAAATAGATGGCTAGTTTAATCCGTAGTTATAGGAATTTGCGTTACGTCTTCCTTTCGGAAAATGTAGCAGTTGGGTTTGAATTTCAAGAGTTCGTCGGTTTTTCTTCCAAAATTTGTTTTCATTTTCTTCTCGAAGATAGAGTTGTGGAATTAGTAAATTCTCAAATTGGAATGGACTTACTTTTTTGTTCTTTGTGTATGATATACAAAGTAAACTAGTTCAACGATTGGCTAAACGTTCTTTTTAAATTAAATTTAATTTGTTTTAAATATCAGTGCAATAGTTTTTTGTTCGATAGATAACGACAAGTATATTTCGTAACAAAACAAATGTTCCATTTCCTCTCTTCAACATTTCACTTTTCATAATACAAACACACTACAAAGGACATACGTATTTGCCACTTGAACGACTGAAATGTGGAATAGATCAAGTGTTCAACGACATATGTTTAAATATTTTCTATTTTACAGACCATAAAGTCTTTGTGACTTGATTTCTGTTCTTGTTCTTGTTCTTTTTCTTGTTCAAAATTATGTACGATAACCATTCGAAAAGAAATCCGAGTTTCAGCTGCACATATTTCAATTTTTTATGTGTTTGCTACCAAAACTTTAACACTCCTTTTCTTATGTTTTTTACACATTCCATTTGGTAGACACATGTCATTTTTTTCATATGCCTAACAAGAGAATAAATCCATTATCTAAGTGTTTTCAAGAGTAACACTTCGACGTATGTTTTTTCATTAGAATTTTCGAAAATTGTTCACACGTAATTTTATCGGCATCGGCCATCATTCTTAAAATATTGCAGTTGTATAAATCTGATTATAAAATGAATCAATTGGTAGATAATGTGCAATCAGACTTTCATTGGTCTACCTAGCAAAGTGAACTTTGATGAGAGCGCGTAAAAACTCGTTCATATGAGCAAGATTGTTCCCTAAATATGTAATTGTAATCTAGAAATTCACTTCGTACTTGTATAGGCAAGAAATAATATGTGTAACGAATTTCGTTCTATATGGAATGGGAGAATGATCAAAACAAAAAACGCACGAACAGAAAAAAATGAACGAATGAAATACATATGAAAAGAGATAAAAAATATAGAGCGAAGGTGGTTCTAAGCATTAATTTTGTTATAAATCCGTTAAACTATTTGAAATTTCAAACTCATGTTGAAAACTAGACATTTTTTGGCATTCGTGTGCGAACATTCATGTTGCACTTCCGCAAGTGCGCTTATTTATTCATATAATGTCTTCTTCTGGCAAATAGTGTGGATTTCATCATATTTATCGGTGGAATTGAGAGTAGAGTTTGTTTCTTTTGTCTTTCTTTTAAAGGTGGGTATGTTTGTTGATAGTTCTGAATATTTGCTTCTAGGAAGAGCATTTTGCATTCCTCGTGCTGTTACGGTGTTTCACGTTATTGCGTAACTGATATTATCAGTGTTGATCAGTCTGATAACTTACCGCAGCAAAGTTATAGACCATCTCGGGTGCTACAATTTTGCCAAAGATTCTTTGGCGAAAACATCAATTTTTCATCATTTTTGCAAAGGAAAGTGACAAATGAAAAATGAACACACTTTCACTTAACAATTTGTAAGTAAAAAAAATTACTCTTCTCTCAATAGATATTATCTCCGTTTCTTGAATGAATAATTTGCTTCGTTGTCTATCACATCAATGGCTATTTAATTAAAATGTTCATTGTGATTGCGCATATATTGCGAATGGGTTTTTAACATTTTCTGAATGTTTAAAAGAACTGTAATATCCAGTGGTCATCTTTCAGTGTTCTACAACAATTTCAGACAGTGTATTTCAATCATTGAACGTCACTCATCAGAAAATGTTCAGAATTTGTCCGAGCATCGAATGAAAAACATAAAAGTGATCTTCATATCTTGCAAAACAAGAGAAAATCATATAAAAAGAAGACGACGATTCAATTTTCATCAAATTCAAAACTTCCTTCATAAATACATAACACTTGATTTTCACTGAATATCTCAACAAATGTAAACTGTTATCATTTAACACTGTGGGCCAAATTGTTACCTATACCTAAACAAAGCTGAAATGCACAACGAATGAAGAAGAAGAAGAATGAAATGTGATTGAAAAAAGATAACGCTACATGGAAATATTCTCATCTGATAAAAGTATACAAAGTAATTGAGCATATGATTTGAAAAACCAGATAAGTGTCCAAGATTAATTAAAGTCCCACCCAGTCGAATTAGGTTCATGTTTCCATAAAACGTGATAAATTTAAACCTCGAATTTTATACAAGAGGATGGAAATGTTTTTAAATTAGGCATTTCAATGGTTATAGTATTGTATTCTCGTTCTCAAGTGTTACATTCCAAAACAATATTTTTCAACATCGTAAAATTAATGACCATTAAGAAATTTACAAGATAAATTAATGTACAGAACAATAAAAATAATAAATTTAAGCGTATGGAGCCGATAAAATATAATCAATCTTCGACAAACGTTAGTCTCCTTATGCACACAGTAATTGTGTCGATGAGACTCGATATTAATATTGTTTCATAAAAATTTGTCGTTTTAGTTTATGGGAGTGAAGACAAAATATTATAAGAAATGATTTTTTTTTGCAAAAAAAAAACAGAAATTTGGCCAATCCAAATTTAAGTTTATTCACCTATATGTGCTGCTATCAGAGTGGCGATCGATAAACGATAAAAACACCTACTAAGCAAACCGCACGCAGATTTGTTTAAATCATGATTGTTTCGGTAGTTTAGTGCTTCTTGTTCTTTATAATTCTTGATACGATTCGCAGTTGCACGCATGCTGTTATTATTATATAAGTAAAAGTACTTGGCGTCTATACATGCGTGTGAGAGTCAGCATTATATGCGAATTCCAATTTCAAATACGTAAAAAAAAATTGGGATCACTTTTCACCGACTTCAGTGCTCTTCTCCCAATAAAATTTTGTTTTGAATTTGGTTGTATTTGGGATCGATCTAACCAAATAATCGAATTCTAATAGAGTTTTTGAAGAGGTTATATTTAATCGAAATTTTCAAGATGTTGATCTCGTGATCGATTGTTCTTTAAAGAATCCATCAATGAGCTATGGTGATGCAGCCACTTATTACACAATTGTTAATATAAAAAATATTTACGAATGGACTTTGTTTTTTTTTTTAATATTCTGTGCATATTGTCTGTATGCTCCAAACACTTTATTAAATGGAAATAGCTCTCAATTTTTTTTCAAGTTTCAAAATTAATTTAGAAGAATTCGTTGAATTTACTAAAAGAATTAAGTGTGAAACATATGGAAGCGAAATATTCTCGTTTTGACCATCAAATATATACTTCTTTTAAAAATCCTTCAATTCTTCAGTATTCAATTGATTCATTAACATTCATGTCATTATTACATCATAAAATTGATGCGTCAAGATAAAAGAAGGATAGTGAGGTAATACGTTGTACTTGTTACTTGATGGAAATATTCAATAGAATGGGAAAAATAAATACTGATCGTGATGGTCCCAGTCTTGAAAAAATTCAGTTCAAAAATGATCTACGTATCTAGTTCTAAAGCACTAGATAATGGGAAACAAACATTTAGTAGTTTGTAGTATCAAAAATGAAATTGTCACTACTACTCTCTACTTTGACTAATCGTTATTCATTAAAATATACTTGAGAACGATCATTTTTCTTTTGATGTATCAAAATCTGTGTTTGAATGCAATTCGAAATGTGAACATAGCAAGTTGAAACGAACGTCTATATAACTTGTCCTTTCATGTTTGCGCTCATTGCAATATGTCAAGTGAACCATGCTTCCTGCGATCAAATGAACAATTTTATACGATTTTTTTTTGCAACTAATCGAAACATCCACTTTTCTTCATGTTTACTGTATCATTTCAATTTTCATAAACCTTGTAGTGAAATAAATATATAACATTTTTTAACATTTCTTTTCATAAAATCACTCCTAAGATCTCATTACTCGTGAGCATTTCACAAAATCAACGAATTAAACGCGAGAATATTTCAGAATCGTGATTGTATATTCATCGTAACATAACCAAATAATAAATAAACTCGGAAATTTATAGGCGTTTTCTCTTTGTGATAACTCAAACACAAACTGTATATAAGCTGAGGCCCAGTTGTTTAATGATCAATGGGATCTTGATAACGAAATTTTAAATCGAAACGAACATCCAATGTGACATAGACATACAATACTTTCACTATGTGTCGTGTATTCAAAACATTTCCAAATTGAAATTGATAAAAAGGCTTGAAAATTTGAACACGCGAAGGTATTTATTTCTCAATAAATATTTCATATTTTATTGGAGAAAAATTTGTGTGGTTTTAGTGTTATCCGTTATTGATACTTGTTTAAATAAAAAAACAAACGAGAAAATGTGAGAAAAAACAAAGCAGAAAATGGTAATAATAGAGGCACCTTTGACAGTGTATTATACTATATGTTCACAGCGGGTGTTTGTTTGAAAAAAAAATTGTGTTTAAAAAATGTCACCATGTTTTTTATTGGTTCTCAGTTCTGAGAATACCACATTTGTATCCAATTAAAATGATATAATTTTTACACTTTAGATTTCTTGTAACATTTCAATGAGAAATTATGGTGATGTTTCTCGTCCCAGTTTTTATAGACGCTCATCCGATAAACTATTGAGACTTTTTTTCATTCGTATACTTTTATTTGGGATGGTGTATCGTTCCTTAAACGCAATAGATACTCAATGTTTTAGATGAATTGTCAATCGATATTTGCGCTACACTTGCGTAAAACATGCAGATGCAATTTTATTCGTTCATTTAGATCTTTTTTCCAACTCTTGGCATTTATTTTCCTGTGAAGCTATGCAACACTAAAGCAATCAACAGAAACGAGTTGCATCTTTTGAAAATCATCAGAATAATAAAAAAACGAACCAAAGATAATACACACTATTTCACTATATTTATTATTAGTAGGGAAAAAACGGTTGTCGTACCAATATATATGTTTTTCGTAAATATAACACAATATCAAAAAATATTATTTCCACTCTCTCTATTTGTCCTTATTAACGTTTGATTATTCTTCTTTTTGCATTTGTTTGGACTCAAAACAACATGTTGATTTTAGCGTTTCTCATACTGTAGGAATCTTTAAACGTCGAACGTCTCTGTTAGAACTGAACAACACAACGGTCACGATCGAACTAAAATCATCGAAACTCAACTCAAAAGAAAGAGCCTCTCCATTCTGTAGTCATTCGTTAAGCACCCGAATATTGTTCATTTCGTTTATAGCTTGTATTTGGATTGGATACGTTATGCTGGTGTGCAAATGTAGTATATGTATTGTATATGTGAAGAATGCACATGTATTGTTATTAGTGCGTTGTTCCCTGGTTTGGTATTTTTTTCAAGAGTATATTGTTCGTGTGCATGTAGCCGGTCCTTTTCGAGCTCAGAACATTTCAGTTGTATTGTTGTCTCTTTCAAACCTTAATGTTGTGACTAGATTATCATTTATTGGTATATGCGTACATATAATCAAGTTGAGAATAGGGTCTTATTCATATTTGAATATATTCAATAATGAAAAATAATTAGTTAATGTAGTTATATTAAATTTTATATATAATCGATTTCCATTACTTTTGGTTAAATATGCTAAAAACAACCAAAGAGTCTTTCCACACATATGCTACACAAAATATGACGTGTAATTTGAACTGCGGTTTGATGATGTGGACAACGATGAAAATGAAGATGTGTGTTCAAACGAGCACACAAGAGCCCGGTTTTAAAATTTGAACAAATCCGTTTTGACATCATGCAGAAAAATGTCTGAAGGCATTATGATGAGATGTATTGTTGTTTTTCGTATTTTTCAAAGCATGCCTACCATCCTTTGTATTGAAGGAATTTGAGAGAAAAAAAAAAAGAAAATAAAACAATGATTCACGATAAAGTTTTACTTCAACTCATTTGTAAATTGTCGGGTTTATCTCTCTCTTTCTCTCTTTAGTTTGGACGAAGCATTGAATATTTATATACTCTATAGTAAACTTTCTAAAGTACTTTTTATCTAGAAATAATCGCTTAATTTCAGATACAATCACAATATGTTTTGCACTATTTTCATGCACAAAATCATCAATCCAGTTTGGACTTGACTCCTATTTTTCCTAGAGATAATTCGCCCAGCTTAACTCTATACACAGACATTTCATTTCCTTTGTTAGATTTGCACAGTTTACGTTTATTCCACATTTTATTCTCATATTGTTTTTGCTATTTTGAAGTTTTTCTTAGTATTTTTCAAGAAAAATTCTCCATGTATCTTTCCTCACATACACATCGATGCGAATATTTCAAGTAAAAAAAAAAACAAACTGATAATTCAACATTCTAGAAAAACAATTCATAGCACGTTCCCACAGACGCAATTCTAAATCAGCGGTTGTTATTCCTGGAATAAAAATATGAATCGATTAGGAGCAGCTTAAACAATGTAGGAATAATGGTAAGAGCAGTTTGTTCATTTCTGAAGAAAAATAAACATATGACGTTTGCAAAACATAAGCAATCGTGTGAGGCAGTCATTCCCTACATCCGACAATTAAAATCAAGAATTATATTTTGATTTTTTTTTCATTATGATTCAAGAAATTTTTCTTGAAACAACATCAACATTTAAACTTTTCGCAATTCCTTTACTTGTTATGGTTTGGTGTAACATCATGGCAGTGACATTTCGATTAGGGAAAAGCTTCAATGGTATTACAATAAATTATTATTAACGCAGTATTATATTACTGTAAATTCAGTTTTGTTAATTAGTAATTGTTGTACCACACAGATGTGACCTCTAATTAATTAGAGCACAATGCAAACAGATGTAAAAAAACTGTAGACTAATAAAATGCGATGAAGTATCACATTTTTAACTGAATGTGATGATGAAAAGTGCGAGTATTTGCATGAAATCGTTTATTCATTGATCAAAGAGAACAGGTATATTTGAGAGATCCCAAAAATGTAATTATTTCGCATAAGCCGTCTTTGGTGGCTCGGTGTTTTTTTGCTTACTGCTAAAATCGCTTTTGTTTTGATATGATATTGCAAATAATACATTGGTTGCAAAATTTAATTGACAAAAAGTTGTGGGAACAGACAACGTGTTTTGGTGGTATGACTACAATTGTGTTGTTGACACATCGAACAAAAAAATTAACTGCAGTGTTTTGTCTGCGTTCATTATAATTTTATAAAAATTGATGGATACTCGCCTCGTATGTTGTTCTTATTCTTTTACTTTACTTTCGAATTGACGCATGGTTGTTTTCGAACAAATATTTCATGTCATTAAAGAGCATTGCAATATTTACAGAAAAGTGAAGAAGCATGAAAAAGTATCAAATTTCGTTTTCTTCATAAAAGTTTATTGTATTTGTAAAATTAAACTATGAAATGCAGTATTTTTAGGGGACCTAATCAAATATCTATTCTGTGTTACACACAGCTGCTTCATTCAAAACATTTTTTCTCTCACGAAAAGGCAAAAAGCATACGCTGCTATGATGTTCACATTTTGTTTTCATTTCCATCAGTAGAAAAATAGGCGTACATCATATATTAGCCCCGCCCAATGAGAATCAAGTCAGTGAGTTCGGTATGCGCATCACCTTGCAAATATTGGAAAACAGTTGGACGCACGAGTAATGAATGAGACAATTTGATGATATGTTTGATTCAAATTTTTTGTCTTTAAAAATAGGAGGAGCTACGGATAAACAAAACAGGAGCTGCGAATATGATGTTGTCTTCTTAGTTGATTTCTTTATTTTGATTTAATTTCGAATTCGTATCAATTCCATCGCCAAGTCATTAATGAATTAATCGAACCATTTTAATGTAGAAATGTACGGCTTGTATGCCTTGTAAACATATCACAACCAATCTATGTAGAAAAATATAAAATTCGTGGTACATTTCGAGCAAATATTCCAGTTTTCTTCAATAATTTCCACCTTGTAGACGACATTTTAAATTAAATGTTTCCAGAACTGGTGAAACACTCAATACAAGTTCTGGTTTTCTGGTGCATTGTCAACTGTGTCAGAGAATATTTTATTTTGACTTTTTGTTCGTGACATATGTTTCCGACATCACGCTTTACATCCAGGCTAATGGCAGAATTGCTCACTTCAAACAATAGATATTGAACAGTTCATGTGGAAATATTCGGTTCTTATAATCAAATGCACGAGTTTTTTTTATTGAATCAGATAGTGGCTACTTCCAAAGGTAACAATTCATTTCAAAATGCAAAAAATGGACATTATAGTCCTCTCTTAATTCCACTATAACAACACTAGCACAATGAACATATATATTCTGTCACGTTGTAAACGGGAGCACAATTTTCTTGAAGACTTTTCAACTTCTTATGTAGGAGATAGAGTGTTTTTAAAATTGCTAAATATATTTACTCTTCCATCGACGCAGGCATAAAATGAGTCCATCCTTTGAGATTTAAACCAACCACTGGTTTCTGGCGAATAAACGCTGTTCGGTGCAGAATATAATAATAATAATATCGTACTGTTTGAGGTAAAATTGTTAACGCATCAGTAATCATAATGTAGATTTTGTACGGCTTATTGTGTAGCATATTTTTTTCTTTGAAAGACAAAAGAGAGAGGAAGAGAGGTGTATATAAAATCCAGCAAAAATGTTCTATGTGAATGGAAATATCAGAAGAGCATTTTACCACATGATACCGTATGTTTAACTTGATACTGTATGTTTTTATTTCTATGGAATTCACCTTTCAGAAACTCGTGAATGATTTTCCGTTTGAATTAATTTAAAGAAGCCTTAGTTTCTGTAACAAAGTAAAAAAAAAAAATTTAAAGCGCATTTCAAATTCAATAAAAATACCAAATGCTTGAAGATTCAGCAATGAATAATTGATTTCCTTATGACATACTCATCTTTTGGTAGTTATGTCTGTTTTTAGTTAAACATATTATTTTACCTTTGCATCCGCTTTAATTTTTGAATCGTTCATAAATAAACATAATTTAAACCAACAATAACAACCACAAAAACCCCTCCTAAAATGAATTGAATGATAAAAATCACTTCAATAAGGATTATTTCGACGTTTTCTCACTTCTGGCGTTAATTTGGTCCCCGGTGATTTGGTCCCCGGGGATGATTTGTCATCATGTGGAAGTAATAAAACAACAACCCCATTTTTTTTCAAAATAATATACTTATTCTAAAACAAGATAACGATTGTTTTATACAATTTATCATTTGAATTGCACGGTGAGAGATGTTATCGCATTCAATAAACTCAAGAGTTCAGTATAATGATGTTTGATGTTCTGATGCGTAAGCCTAAGCCTGGCTTTTTGCCAACGCTCAGAAAAATATTGGGGTGTGAAGGTACAAAATGCTCAACGTAATACTATATGCGTATCAAATTTTGGTAGTTTATGGAACGTGTAATATGATGCCAGTCTAATAATGAACCTATTTTTTTGTTGATTAATATTATTCTCCTTATGATGTGAAGGGAGGGGAATCACGTCAACGATACCTCGATAGCCAGAAATCGGTAATCATCTTGAAGCCGTATGCTATTGCAAGACCTATGTTTTCATTAAAATAAGAGGGAAATGTTTGTTGCGTTGGTAATTAATGTCAAGCATGCCACAAACTTCTTGATGTTGCAAACGCAAACAATGCTGATTTAATTCTAGCTGCTGCAAAATCAAAAAAACAAAACTTCAACTTAATAGGGGTAGTGTGAATTTATGATGAGAGAAAACAAACATGATTGAAGTATATAATTTTGACCAAGAAACAAAATGAAAAATTTACAAATTAGTTTACAACCAATAGTTGGACCCAACAACATCGGAACATAAAAGGTGCATGATTGTTCGTAATGATACGCGTTTTGTCACTTAATTCATTGCTTTTTTAATCAATTCTTAGATGTGGTCGTTGACATGAGTTGAGTTGTATTCATTTTAATTGCCATTAATCCAATTCTGTTAGCTATTCAATCATTGTCCAAAAACTGAACCTTGGTATCATTTGTTATTCTGTAAATGTTTGGCTTCTGTAATAGTGTGCAGACCGAAGGACAAGAAAACAAGTACAATACACATAAAAATTTGCTTAAGATTTTTAGTATATCAAAAATAGCCCGTTAAAGAAAAATGCGCCATCTCTCTTGTTGATATATTGAACCTCCACTGTGAAAAGGAAAAAATCAATAAAAAAATCTTACTGTTCTATAGCACAGACTACCCGAAATTGAGTGATCTCCATTCTGTCTTTTTAATCATTTCATTTTTGGCTCAATGCAAAGAATGCATGATTATTATTACAGATTTTATTTGCACAACAATGAATCTTCTTGAATTAACCCAGACAAGTTTTTTCTCTCTAATTTTGAAAATATTCTGGGTCACATTTTAAAAATCGGTCAACTTTGGGATGTTGGCATTTCCAAACCCCTGAAGTTATTCATTTGAGTAATACATCATTTGAAAGCGATATTTTTTGAGCATCCAAAACAGCTTGCATTCAACAATATCTATGGTGGTACCCACGAAGAAATGGAATAACCTATGGGTATTGCCAAGGCAACGCTAGGCTGATTGGAGTAAATGAATTTCCACTTGTTAGCTGATGGTTTATGAAGGCAGGAATTCAAAAGAGACCGTTGGCCAAAAGTTATGTTTGATGTCTGTATGTAAAAGTTGCATCTAGTTTTCTACATTATAGTAGGGGAATGCTGGGGCAAAGTGATATACTATATATTTCGTGCCATATTGTATCATATGACGAAAATGATCATTATAATCTCATTCCCAGTAGAAAGGCAGCGACTCAAAATGTCAATTTCCAGCTATTGATTGATCCTAACGACAAACGGACAAGCTACAACACAAATTACATACCGAGTTCAATTAATTGTATTGTGTATGTGGAGTATTTCTTTGCAATCACCTTGCTACATACAGGGAAGCATTGATTTTTCTTTTGAAAAAAATAGGATAAAATTATAATCGATTACAATTGACCATGATAAGCCACCCAAAAAATAGAGCTAATGTTGTATATTTTATTAAAATTGTCTACTTATTGTTCTTGACGGAATCAATGTTACAAATCATAGACTTTGGAATTTGTACTTTTTACAAATCTAAAATTAATAGGCTCCGGATTCCGGGACCTCATTTTTTATGTGACTAGAAGTAGTAGTCTATAGCTATATACCCATGAAGGCGAAATAAATAATTGGGTTGGAATTGGGACTGATGACTAATAGCGATGAATTCGTATCATATTTTATCCTCTATTTGAAGAAGAAATCTTGCATATCTATCCCTTGTGTTAGAGGTGAAATGAGGTTTCAAAAAGGAAACACTAGTATTTTTAAGTAATGAAATTGATGGGAAGAATTTTGTTTATCATCATCGGTTTAAAATTGTTTATCTGTCTAGAATGATAGACCTATTTAGTGAACGGTTTCCAAAAGTGGAACGTGAATATATTTATACGAGTCTCTAAAATGTTAGATTCTAATTTCTTAAACCGTGATCACAATAACAATGTACCTCTCTTTTACGTGCGACGGATTCTTTTTTTTCAAACATTTTCATGTTTACAGTTCACCAAAGTACACTTTTGGGTACAGTTATCCTAGACAATTTATCTTGTATACTCTTTGTCTTAGCCTAATGTAACTGCCAATGCCTATGCACAATATTTCAGATTTTTTTCTCGCAAAACAATGACAAATCGTCTCTAATTCAATCCACCTTCAATTCGATCCAACTTGAAGAAATATCAGTCCACGTCGATCCTCTCACCTACAACGGTGAAGTGTCCCATAAATACCATTTCATGAAAAGAATATACAATTTTGAAGTACTGCCAAAACCTTTATCTGGGCTATATTCCGGTCTCGATGGGGAAAATCATAGAATTTTTCAATATATAGCAATGCTATAATTTATAGCATATAGCGCGAGCACTTCGTTGTTATTTTGTACTAAACCAAATATATCTTTCAAAATTGATTCATTTTGCGTTATTTTAAGTCAACAAAAATCATTCAACCAAGTCTGCTTCTGGTGCATTTTACAGTCTGGGCTTTATATTATTCAAATTTGCGTTAGGTATATCGAATCAGCTCTCTGTGTCCAAAATGAAATTCCATTAACTCAGCTCGTTGAAAAAAAGTTTCTTTTTCATAAAATATTTTGCAAATGTATTAGATTCACTTCTCGGATAATAAAGAATAATGCAGTAAGAGAAAAATAAATGGCACATAGAAAAAGACAAAACCAAACATGCTTGAGGAAATCCATCGAATTTCCAACGGTTCAGTATGACCTTTCGAAATTACAAAAAATGAAAACCATTTGAATGCTGTAGAATGAAAATAACGTGGGGTACGCACACGTATTAAAGCGTAACTCAGAACATTTGCAAAACAAAGAGAAACAAAATATATTTTCATTGTCAGCGCATTCGCTTAAAGCGTTAAGCATTGCGATGACGGTAATGAATTTATTATACAAAATGTTTGATGAATGTGTTACGCGGAACTCAAGGGGTCAACTGGCAGTCAACGAGATTATACAAACGTGTAATATAAGATGCATTGGGTTTAGCCACCATAGTTAAAATTATTAGAAAAAATGAAGTCATTATTATCATTGCCCCATTGATTTGGCAGAAAAATAACCGTCACCTGGAGACTGAGTGCAATGTGCCAAAAATTTTGAAATTATTGTGTACGTAATTTCGAAAGAAACCAAAATAAATAATGTTACATTCTTCATTCGACTTTTTTTCAAATTCAATTGAAGATCTTACCGTTTCGAAGGTACAGAATAACCCTACCCAAAATGGAACCAACAATGAAAATCTAATATTCTTGGCATAGTTTTTATTTATTTCAATTTTCTCATTTACAACAACTGTGTGTGTTCTGTTGTATATAAAACTTATTTCCATCTCTTGTTTTCGTAGTCCCATTTCGACGAAATACCGTCAACGTGACCAACACCAAGGTCCAACATTCGTTTCAATTGAGCTTTACGTGATTCCTCGCTAAGACTCTCCGGCAAAGGTGGCAAAACTGAAATTGAAAGAATTATTATAATTAAATCAATTGATTTAAAAAGATAAAAGTACAGCTCCAATAAATTACCATAAAGTCTCATCCAAATTGCGAACCAGATAGCCAATGATGCAGCAATGAATCCACCAGCAACACACAGTTTCCATTCGCCAGTTGGTGCTTCAAACTCGGCAAAAGTTTGACAGAACGAGTGACGATAGAGTGCTTTCTTCTCGTGCTTCGTCAACTTTTTCCAATCACCTTTCTCTTTTTGGCGAAGGAGCTGAAATTGAATCAGAAAATGTTATTTCTTTGAGTTGAATGGAATTTTGGAAGATTATATAATTACAGTGATTTCTGGTGTTTCTTCTCTCCAACGAATGGCCGGTAGTGGAAAGTCACTACGGTCAGCATACGTAGGGAAGCCATTCCAACCAAAACCAACGATGTCACGAGTGCCTATCTGAGTTCCATAAATATGATGTTCTGTTGGTACTCCGTCTGGACCAATTTTCGGTGTTGCAGATGCAACTGAATGGCCAGCGCGATTACCGAATGGAACAATCGTCCGTTTCAATGGATTTCCGAGCAAACGAAGAGCCATTTTGTCTGAAAAGTATGTAAAAACCACTTTGTCAATATTATATCGATCAAATCTGACACGGCTACACATAAGTACCTAACCTAAAATTAAATTTGTTTTCGGAATATTGTTTTGAAAAGGATATAGCAATGCGATATTTTTGCATGTAGAGAAAGGGGTATTGAAAATCTACTTCAATCTACATAGACAGCAAAATTCCAAATTTTTCGATTAGGAATTAAAAACTATGAGTGATTTAATGATATATGATTTGACACAAGTCTACCTATTTCAAGTCTTGTTTCGTTTTATCCTTACATATGCATTGAAATAGAATAAAATAAATGCACGAGAGAGAAAAATTAAAGCTTGCCGCTCAAGGTTTGGTCGAGATCTTATAGTACTTATATTTTGTTTTTCTTCATAACAACTTTTAGTTCATTCTTTCTCCATTGAATTCACTCTATTTTTTTTAACATTTTGTTTGAATGTGAGTCGATCTGATGCAAAGCAGGCTTGATCCAGAAACCGCAAACAAATAATTATATAACAATATACACCTTCGATTTTATTATCTCATGGAGACATAGACAAGTCTTCAATTTGAAAAATAATGAATGAATATCGATCGTAGTTTTCCCGAGCTATGGTTCATATTCTCGTTTTGAAAGTTCCGGATTGATTTTTCTTATTTAATTTCAATCATATCATTGAGTTGAACAGTACATTTTATATTATTCAAAACCCGTGTTTTTTACATCAACGATAAAACTAAAGAAAATTGACTAGAAAACTTAACTTACATTTGAATTTTTTTTAAAACTTCACCCACTTTTGTACGTCGTTTAATCCACGAGAAAGAACTTATGTAAAACTTTTCTCACTCTGTGAAAAAAAATGTCGTATTAGGTAGTCATAATATTTATAAAACCTGAAGTTGGCTCAGTTAACATGTACTGAGGTGAAGTGAGAACGCCAAGTATAATTGATACAATTTACAATTCATTAAATTTGAATGAAATAAATTGATTAGTAAAAAAATCAATACCTTCTGTTGTCTTTTTAGAGAAACATTTACAAAATTTACTAAGAATATTTTTCTTTTTCAATTATTCTTGTTGAAGAAGAACTCTGAAGAAGAGTTCCAGTTTTTCCTACCTATGGGGGTTATGGATCGGGATAAATGGTGGCAAATTTCCTAATTTGGTGCGGCCTAGCGAGCCACACCGACCAAAAATCATTTCGGCCCCATTGGAAAAATTTCGAAAATTTATCCGCGGATAAATCTTCCACATACGAGAGTCAATTTTTCCTACCTATGAGGACTATCGACCCGGATAAATGGTGGCGAATGGCCTAATTTGGTGTGGCCTAGCGAGCCATACCGACCAAAAATCCTTTTGCTCCCATTGGGAAAATTTCGAAAATTTATCCTGAGCAAAAAAACAGCACTTGTCTTGAGCATAATTGTGTTTTTCAATTAAGTGGAGAACGGTTAAGAAAACCTGTTTATAGCAAAGTAATAGCGAATTAATACAACTTCACTTCAATCGTACCTCTATTTTATGTCAGCGTTCATAATATCTTTCGAAGAAGTTTTTTGGATTGATGTGAGAAACTCTTCTCAAGAAAATTTCGTAAAAATGGCAAGTTTGTGTGGTCGTTTGATCTCCAATGTTGTTCGCCGTAGATTAATTGTGGCACCGGCCATTCAATATCGGCAAAAATCAACCAGTAAGTATCCAGTTTACTCAAAATATTGAATTGTTCCGAAAATTTAACAAGGAAGGGTCTTTTGAATCAAATAATGAGCATGTCACTTACGGTGTTTCTATTACGTAATTTATATTATTTTGTAGGATTGTATCCCAATCTATATTTTGCTCATCACTAAATTGGACAATATACATTTATTAGCAATGAAATAATAATTATTTTGAATTTTATAATTTTTGATGTATTCAATACTATTATTACCCATCATATCGATTTTATTGAAAGCAAAAATATAGGTTAGGATACAAGTGTAAAAGGCAGAAAAGGAAAATTTATTCTAAATTATCAATGAATATTATGACTTTCAGAGCTGCCGGATCCCATTGACCATGCAACTGGTTTGGAAAAGAAAGAATTGCTTGCTGCCCTAGCTGGTAATGATGATCCGTACTACAATAAAGCCATCAAACGTGGTGTTGGTACCAAAGAAAAGCCAACATTGATTCCATCAGCCTTTGATGCTCGTATTCTTGGGTGTATATGTAAGTTAATTGACGGAATATTTTCATCTACGCAAATGGAAATTATAAATTTCATTTTTTATTTGGCAAATAATTATTGTGCATTTCTTTTTTAAATCAGGCCACGAAGATCAAACTTATGTTCAATGGATGTGGCTTCATAAGGATGTACCCAAGCGATGTGAGTGCGGTCATTGGTACAAACTGTATTATGTCGAACCTTTTGTTGATGAATCCATTCTTGCGATGTCTGATGTTCATTAGGATTGTCTAGGGAAGTTTCAATACATACCTTGAATTCATAGATTGAAATGTACTTTAAAAGAAATTATCGATTGAATAAATTTACGGAAATGTATTCTTTTTGTCTTTTAATTTACACTTACAGTGTATTTTTTTACAAATTTTTTCTAACAAAAATAATTGAAATTGTCAATACGTTAATTAATAAATTCACCAAACTCACCACACATATTAAAATTCATCATGCACTCCCATTATATTTGACAATTTTTTAATGGCAAAAAAGAGACGAAGGTAAACAATAAATGGAATTATTCATTTTGTAATGAAGCAAAATAATACACATAAATACATAGCATAGAATTATGCTTCTGTTTATAGAATTTTATATTGCGTTTTGTTATCGAAACATAAGTTGAAAGTGAAACGACGACTATAGAATCAAATTTTATTTACTTGGGACAGAATCTAAGGTACAATAATACACAGATGATATTTATTGATAATTTCAGCAAATTTTCCAATAGTATTTGTGTCTTTTGTTGTAACAATAGTAATTTGTTTTTATTTATAGCTTGATTGTAGTCCTGAAAAGTATTCCATATGATATGCTGACAAAGTTACATAGCCTTATGAGTTGCACCTCGAACTCAATTGTGTCAATTAGTCACTCTAATGAACACGAACAATCAGTAGGGATACCGTGTTCAGGTCGAGGTGACTGTCTGAACGGAACATGCATATGCGAAATTCGTTTCAGCGGAAATGAATGCAATAATTACAACATCTCATATCATGCCAGTAATGAATTTACAATCGATTACACGAAATATTGATACTTTTGATTGGACATTTAAATTTTAGTTTGTTTTGTTCTATTTTAGGTGTTTCATCTGTATTTTATTTTGTGGCAGCCTTATCCATGATTCAATTGTTCATATGTTGCAAGGCTGAATATCATAAGAAAAAGATCTTGGTCCAGGCCATCCGACTGAACATCCAGAAACTTTTGTATTTCGTTGTTTTTATTGCGGCTTTGTTACGTGGCGCCTACTTCACAACACCTGTAAGCTATAATTTATACATTTACTAGAAAGCAATACGTGGATTATTAATTTATGAACAAATTTTTTTGATCATCAGGGAGCTTTACAACCCGATTGGGCATCATTTTTAATTTCTGCATATTATCCGTTGCTGTTAACATGTTCTTCATTGGTTGTGTGTCTTTGGGCCGAAATATTTCATTTACGAAACGTTCGCGCAACGCAGTTTCTATCGAAGAGTTTTCTTGGGTTCTTGGCATTCAACATTTTGCCCTATAGCTTATTTGGTGCAGAGATACTTTCGACACATGTATCGAAGAAACGAAATGTATATGCATCGGTATTCAGTGGTTGCTACGCATTCTTGTTATTAATCGTGTTAATTTTCTTCTTGATCTATGGAGTTGAAGTTTTCTTTAAAATACGAGGTGAATGGATCCATCAACAAACGATTCCTAATCATTCGACAGAATCGTCTGAAAAACGAGGCAGTGAGACGAAAAGCACACATATAAATGTAGTGCAAGTTAGTCATGCGCGGTTTGGTTTGTTAAGTCAGGCTGTTATGATGACCATTATCGTGGTATTCTTAGCTTCTGAAACACTTGGCGACTTTTGGAAACAGAAAGTTCCAGTTTACTACTACAATATATACGATATTATATTCCGTCTTTTTGAAGTTGGCTTCGCATTATGGTTTCCGTGTTGCTTATGGAACTCGACAGCTCCCGAGCAACTTTGGATATTGAATCCCCGAAAATTATTAAGTCGACAAGTCGACGATTCATTTGCTCTACACTCAAAGGTAATTTGTCGGCACATTTCCAACGAATGTGAATGAAATTTATTTGCGACGCTGATAAAGAAAAAAAAACACATCTTGTTCTATTAGGAAGGAGTATCCGCTGAAGAAGGACACACTTTTTTGAAGTTGAAGGACTGCTGGATTTGTTATGATTCGGAAAAAGCGGAACCTCTCATTCAGCCATGCAAATGTACGGGAGATGTTAGTTCAGTGCATCACGAGTGCCTTCGCCGTTGGCTAGTTGAATCTTGTAGTAAATCGGAAAAAACGATGAAATGTCGAATATGCAACACACCATATGAAGTAACTAGAACTAACAGGTAAGTATTCACATTTCCATACTCTTTGCCAGATCTGAATAAATTGTTCGGATATTTTGTTCAATTTCCTAGGCTCTATTGGACAAAAGGTTTTACTGTCAATTTTACGGCAAAAACTATCATACTTATCTCAACCATTTGTATCACAACTGCATTTGCATGGGTAATCATACAAACATATGTAGGTACGTTGATCGGATCCAAATATATTAAAGAACAAGATAATTTATGTTCTACCTCTTCGCTGATTGAACAACCAAATCAGTTATCTAAATTATTCAATCATCAATCCGAACTAAATTTTTTAAATGTCATTTTTCAGATCCAATAATTCGCGTTTTTGTTGCGGGAATTGCAATCCTAATCGGATATATTTGCATTAAACTACTTGGAGAGAACACTGTTTTGGCTGTACACCGTGCAAAGCTTAATTCCATCAACATCATTGATGGAGATTCTACATCATCCGAAAAATTGTATTATTAAACTAATTTTGAATAAATGATATTGAACTTCACAAAAATGTCTTCTGCGGAGAGGGAAAACGTTTGTTCTATATTCGTATTTCGTAATTTACGAGTCGTAAACAAATAAAGGGTTTGAGTAAAGATTGGGATATATTTTTCAAAAGAGTTCTAATACAAAACATGGTCAAACCTTATGCCAAAATGTGCAATTTTCCTCTCTAAACGAAAGGAATTTTCATTATGTCATTTGCAAAAGTAAGCAAAACATTTTCTTACAACTCCTCCTGGTTTTCCGTGGGTTATAGATGAATAACGTTAGGAAAATATTGGACCCTAATTTTAAGTTTTTCATTGGCTTCTGAAAAACGAAAAATCGGGTGCTGTCTTCGGTAGATGTGTATATTTTGCCATGTGTATTTATTTGTAACTCACGCCGAATTTGAAAGGTTAAGTCTACAGCAAAATTGAAATATTTTGAAACTCGCTTCAGATATCCTATTGACAGCATCATTTCTTTTTATCGTTAATCACTCAATCGGCGTATAATAACTCTGATGATTGTATCGGCCTGTGGATTCGAAGACTGTCGCAACAAATCCAATATGTCAGTCAGACCATTTGGTGGAGCACCAATATTTCGTTCTGTGATTGTTGAGTATAAAGCACCAATACACGCGCCACGTAAACCCTCCCAGTATTCCGGATTGGGATCAAGCCTGGAAAAAAAATCTAAGTACTTTTTCTTCGCGGTATTTTTCACAACTACTTACGATAATTTCTCCAACATATCGAAGGCTTTAGCAGCAACCCAATACTGGCCAACACGATAACATTCTATAGAAATCAATTGCAACATCATGATTGATTCATTTTTTCTAGAACTTTTTGCCAAATACAAATTCCAAGCCTGTTTGAAGTAAATACATTTGAACGCGTGAGAATAAAAGACTGACGCTACCAGGTTTTTCGCAAAAGCGGGATAAAAATCAGTTGCACGCAAAAGAGACATTTCAAAAGGTTGCACGCAAGAGAGAAGTATATTGTTGTTGTAATCACGGCTTTTAAATCCAAAATGCGACAAAATAAAATGTTCCGTTTGCGTATAACCTTTTGAAATGTCTCTTTTGCGTGCAACTGATTGTTATCCCGCTTTTGCGAAAAGCCAGCTAGTGTCAGTCTTTTATTCTCACGCGTTCATTTAAATTAGTGAAAAATTAAATTAGAATAAACTAAATTTCTTTTAACACTAAGACGGTTTTCGAGGAATCCAGGGCCCCAAGCAAACTTTAAAATTGAATAAAAGTACTAAACAGTGTATAAACCAACCGGAGTTAAGTCTCATTGTATAGATTGAACATTTCTCTACACGAATGACATATACACATATGCATATGTGTGAGTATGTGTAAAATACAGCCTTCCGAAAAACATGTTACGCTGGTGTTCTTTGGGGACCACAGGGCCCCATGGCTATTTTATATTATAACTGGACTATGATAAGAGATATCGACTTGGGTATCCGGACAAAATTCCCAAAAAAAAATTTCCCGATCCACAAAATTCCCAAAACAAAATTCCCGAAAAAAGATTCCCAAAAAAAAATTCCCGAAAAAAAATTCCCGAAACGAAATTCCCGAAGACAAAATTCCCGAAAAAAAAATTCCCAAAAAAAAATTCCCAAAACAAAATTCCCGAAAGAAAATTCCCGAAGACAAAATTCCCAAAACGAAATTCCCAAAGAAAAA